GGTCCGGGGCGGATGCGCGGCACGGTGAGGCTGAAGGCCAGGCAGCGAAGCGGCCGGCTCCGGGAGCCCGCGAGGACCGCTCCGCCTCTGCACCTGGACCTCACGGCAGCCGAGCCCAGAGCACGTAAAGAGGCGGGGCCTCGAGCTTGGAAGGAGGAGGGGCCCGGAGCGTCGGGCTCCGAGGGACGCGTCGGGACCGGGAGGAGGCGGGGTCTCCGCTTCGGGTTCCTTCGGGCAGAATCGGTGGCAGCTTGGAGGCGGGGCCACAAGCTTCGGTTTATTTCGGAGGTCTCTGTTCGGATGTAGGCGGGGCCAAGAGCTTCGGCCGGATGTGGGCGGGGTCACAATGCCTGTTTGACTTAGATTAGGAGATAGGCGGTGTCTGGGGTTTTTTTTGAGAAGGAGGCGGGGCCACAGACTTAAGCAACACGAAGGAGGCGGTGATCTAGAGCGTTCCAAGGGGGCGGGGCTAACAGCAGCTCATCCTGAGGGGGCGGGACCCCGGCTGGCGTGTCAGCCACCGGGGCGGGGCCAAGGTAATTGGCCTCACTTTCCCTAGAGGCGGAACCCAAGCGGCCGAGGGAGGGTCGCTTCGAGGGGGCGGGGCCAAGGTGTTCCGCTTCAGGGGCTACGGCGCCACTGGGGGCGGATCCCAGACTTCCCGCTTCGCTGAGGTGGCGGCGTGACGAAATTGACGCAGGGGGTCGGGATGGGGAGGGGTGGAGGAAGCAGCGCGTGGCGCGCTACGTAGGGGTGGCTCTGCCGGGACCGCGAGCTGGTGTTTACGAGGTGACTAACTGGTTCTATCGGAGCACGGTGCCGCATTCTGAGGGGAGCGCTCACGAGGGGGTGAGCCCGCCCGAGCGGGGAACGGATGGCGGGTGTCCAGTGGGAGGAGCCCCCGGCTGTGGGGTTCGCTTAGTGGGGCGTGTACTCGCTCCCCAACCGGGAGCGCTTGCGGCCGGAGGGGGCGGGGCCTGGCTGCGGGGTTGATGGGAGCCGAGGGCGCCCGAACGCCGGGCCGCCGGCCTTCAGGAGGGGCGGGGCTGCGAGTTCGGCCGAGCCGAGGAGGTCCGAACGCCCGAAAGCCGTGCGCCGGGGGGGCGGAGCTTCTACGGTGGGCGTCTGACACCGCGCGAGGAGGCTCTGAGGCCACGCCTCGGTGGTTTGGAAAGGGGAGGGGCCGAGTTCCGAGTCACTGGAAGGGGGCGTGGCCCCGCGCCAAGGGAGGCTTCTCTCCGAGCGGAGAAGGCGAGATGGCCGGAACGCTAACCGCAGGGTCGGGAGGGCCTAGCGGCGTCCCAGCGACTCGGCGAGGGGCGGGGCCTCGTCTCGGCGGCCCCGGGGCCTGGCGGGATCGCCTGGGGACGGGGTCCGGCGCCCAGGGGGCGGGGTCCGGCGCCCAGGGGGCGGGGCCTGGCCTGGAGAATCGGCAGGTGGCAAACGAGGCCCGGGCGAGGCTCCACCCCCCCAGGCGTAGGGGCGGGGCCTCGCTGAGACCCTCCACCCCACCCCACCCGAGGCGGTGGGAGCGCTCTGTCGGTGACTGCTGTGCCCCCCTGGTTCCCGCAGGAGGATGCTGGTGGTGGAGGTGGCGAACGGCCGCTCCCTGGTATGGGGAGCCGAGGCGGTGCAGGCACTGCGGGAGCGTCTGGGAGTGGGGGGCCGCACGGTGGGCGCCCTGCCCCGCGGGCCCCGCCAGAACTCGCGCCTGGGCCTCCCGCTGCTGCTGATGCCCGAAGAGGCGCGGCTTCTGGCCGAGATCGGCGCCGTGACCCTGGTCAGCGCCCCGCGCCCAGATCCGCGCCAACACAGCCTGGTAAGGGGCGGGCCGGGGACGTGAACGCCCTGGACCCGCGGAAGTAGAGGCAGGACACCCGGACTCCAGGTCCCTGCCGTGGGAGGGGTCTGGGCGTCCTGGATTCTGGAATACTGTGCATGCAAGAGACTAGGATCCCCGGGTTCGGGCTTGGGGGTTGGGAGGAGTCAGCGAGTCAGGGTTCCTGGCTTCCTAAGGCAGCGCAGACTTGGATCCTGGGATTCCCGCTGGCTTACTTCTCAGGCTGTGGCATCCTACAAACGCCAGCAGGAGCAGGGCTTCCAGGAGCAAAGCGCCCTGGCAGCCGAGGCCCGTGAGACTCGTCGTCAGGAGCTCCTAGAGAAGATTGCGGAGGGCCAGGCTGCGAAGAAGCAGAAGCTGGAGCAGGAATCAGGGGCCAGCGAGAGCCAGGAGGCCGGTGCGAACCCGGCTGCCGCAGAGAGTGAGGCCAGCGCTAGCCAGGCTCTTCGAGAGCCCGAGGAAGCAGGTGAGGGTAGGAGCGGAGTCCAGGGACCAGTGGAAGGAGTTGGGAGATCTTTTGGGAATCCTGGCCGGGAATCGAGGGCCTGGGACTCTCCGAGGGATGGGAAGACCTTGTCCTTGGATTCACCAAACTGCTGTATTCTCCTCCCCTAGGTTCCTCTTCTCCCCAGCCAGGGCCTTCAAATGGGGTGGCCCCTTTGCCCAGGTCAGCCCTGCTGGTCCAGCTGGCCACTGCTAGGCCTCGACCCATCAAGGCTAGGCCCCTGGATTGGCGTGTCCAGTCCAAAGACTGGCCCCATGCTGGTCGTCCTGCCCATGAGCTTCGCTACAGCATCTACAGAGACCTGTGGGAGCGAGGCTTCTTCCTCAGTGCTGCTGGCAAGTTCGGGGGTGACTTCCTGGTCTATCCTGGTGAGTTTTGTGGGCACCTCCCATTGTTGCCCCTTTCTTCACAAGCCCACCACCGTCTGCATTTTCCCTTTTTGTCTTTTCTCAGCCTCTGAAACCCATGGAAGGACAGGAACACTTGGGAACCCAAGCCTGTTTGGAGGGCAGCGTAGCAAATTTGATTAAGCACTTTCTTTGATCCAGAAGTTTCACTTAGATACGTGCACAAAACATACAGGAAATCGTCACTGCAGGATTCTTTACAGTAGCGAAATATTAGAAAGCAACCAGAATGATTGTTAATAGGTTAGCGGTTACACATTGGTGTTAGTTGTCAGAGATTAATGTAGGTCCACGTACATTTACGAAAAGATGACCAAAGGAGAAGGAAAAAAAAGAACCACTTGTTAAAAACAGGTATGGTAGAAGTGCGTTATGTTTTATGTTGTCATGGAGTTATACACACATTATTTAGGTAGCCTTAAAAGTCATGGCCCTAGGGGCACCTGGCTGGCTCAGTCGGTGGAGCATGCTACTCTTGATCTCAGGGTTGTAGGTTCAAGCCTCACGTTGGGTGTAGAGAGTACTTAAAAAAAAAATATTA